AGGAGTACTACTCAGTCATAAAAAAGAATAAAGTGCCATTTGCAGCAACATGGATGGACCTGGAGATCGTCATCTAAGTGAAGTAAGCCAGAAAGAGAAAGAAAATGCAATATAATATCACTTACATGCGTAACCTTAAAAAAAGGACACAAATAAACTTATCTACAAAACAGAAACAGATTCACAAACATAGAGAACAGACTTATGGTTACCAGGAGGTAAAAGGGGTGGGAAGGGATAAATAATGAATTTGAAAATTACACCTCTTAGAGAGTGATGGAAATGTTAGCTATCTTCATTGTGGTGGTGGTTTCATGGGTGTATACATTTATCAAAATTCATCAAAGTGTACTCTTGAAATATGTGTACTTTACTGTATAGGAACCATACCACAATAAAGGTGTTAAAAAAAAGTGAACATGAAACCAAGTTTTGGAGCTTATGTTCTTGAGAGTAAGGGAAGAACAGATACATATATATAATATGGCTAATATTAAAAATGGCCTGGGTTTGAAACTTGGCTCTACTACCTACTGACTGTGACCTTGGGCAAGTTGTTTCATTTATTTGAACCTTAGTTTCCGACTTTGAAAAACAGGCACAGTAAAAGTGGGTAGGCTACCCCATGGGGATGCTGTGAGGATTAAATGAGCTAATAAACTCACTCAGGATAGTGCCTGGCAAATAAGTGCTATTATTATTATTATCATCACTCAAATTCAGATCCATGGGCTTTTTAGGGGAATTAATTTTTGTGCTTTCATTTGGGTGAGCATCTAAAAGCAATATAAACATATTCTAGGTCTTTTGGATGACTAATTTATAATGGCTACTGTCCACAACTGGACTTGTTTATGGACTTCAGTTAGTGTCAAGTAGGCGTCTATTTTAATTGTGTGGTCTCAACACATGAGAAAAAAACCTGAAGTGGCTGTCATAGGTAAATGACAGCTGGTCATATGAAGGCCAAATGACATCACTGTGAGTTGTGTAATAAATGTTTTCCGAGGGGAAAAAAAAGAGAGAGAGAGGTGGGAACTTGAATCATGGTCCAGAACATGGTAGCAAGTGAGCCACCCAATCAGGACCATGGCTAGTGGTCCAGGAAGGAACTATTCAGCGCCAGATAAATGAATTAATAACAATATATGCTAATGATAAATTAGATATCATGCGAGTAGGTTTTGAGGAATTTGCAGTGTCAATTTACAAAGTATTTTAGTTTCATGGTCTTGTAAGAGCTATGCATGAGGTGTTTCATCCCAGGTTGGTTTGTTCATATTTAAGCACCATGACACAAATGATCTAAATTAACTGTTTTCCTTCAAGGAGGCGTTCACAAATGTTCTATGGCACATACAGAAGGGATACTCGGTGGTAGCTGTAACGGGTGATATTAAACCCAGGATTTGGTATTATGAAGGACTGGACCTCAGGAGAGGGAAGTAGGGCCATCCCGGCTGCTAAAGGGGAGGATGCCGGGAAGTGCGGGAAGCGGAAAGCGGCCGGGCCTCTCTGGAAAGTCGGCTGGGTGGCTCAGGCCTGGGCAGGGTCGAGGTCGCAAGGGCTGGGGACATCAGGGTGACAAGGAAGCCCTCCGACGCGGAGACGGCTCTTCACCCTTGGTACTGCATGGGCTCAAACGGGAGATCAAAGACCCAGGGAAGTTGGGCATCTTTCAGTG